TTATCGGCTTCTTTCAACTTTTTTTTTTTTCAGTTGTAGCATGATCCAGTCACTGCATTTTGTGATAGACTTGTGTATGTGTTTTTGAATCAGCACACTGTTTCTGAGTTTGCTGCATTTTTTTTTCTTAATCTATATCATGGGGGGCGATGCAGGTCTGTTGCTGTTGTCAGCCACCGTACTTTCATGATGTCCAACTGACCACATTGAATAAAACAAAAACTGGACACTCAAAGCTCTATCTGCATTCGATCAGTGAACGGTATGAAGAGGATGATTATGTCCAGGAACAGAGAAGTGCTTTGTGGGAGAACGTGACAGTGAGCCTTTGTCAGAAGTTATGGAGAGAGCCACACCTTCTTATCCATCAATATCCCCATGAGACAGGGGCATAATTACAGGCTGCAGTGTGTGTGTGTGTGTGTGTGTGTGTGTGTCAGCAGCATTATAAAGCAGGATTTGTGAGCTGTCACGCCTCCTGTGCACAGAGAACACAGAGGAAGAGGAGTGCTGTTCATCAGTGTGACACAGAGCTGGTCAGCAGCCTGAGGCGGGCCGACACTTCCTCACACTCTGTGCTGATTGTATCTTCACTCATGTCAGCCGGCTGACTCGACACAGCATTTTCACAGTCCGTGCTGGTGCTTTTTCTCCAAAGCATCACGATCAGTTCAACCTCCGTTTTTATTAAAATTTTGAAGCATTTCTGAATCTGTGTGTTTGAATGCACTAAACATAAACAGGAGGCTGAGAATCCATCGAATTCTCAGCCTCCGATGGATAGAGCAGCCATCCCCTGAATTTTTCCAAAGTCGTTACAAACAACATATCCCTTACAGCCAAAAGTTTTCCCGGTTGGATGACGGGGGTCTTAGCAAGCAGGACATGACATAAAGAGGAGGCAGGGGTTGCCATTTTTTTTTTTATAGATATCCCAGATGGCAGGCGTGGCAGTGTCCGATGCTATTATTACCGGATTTGCCTTTTGTTACATGGCTGACAGCATGAGACCTCACTCCTTTTTGATTTGCTCCTCTAGGTAATCACCTAATCAACCTCACCTGTTTTACCCAGCAACTGAATGATCAGCACCTGAGAGGCTTCATATAAACACACACCAACTCCGCAGTAACAGCTCTCTGCCAGTCATGTTGGATCATCATTCTCTGTCAGTTTTGTTTTTGGATCATTGTTCTGAAAGGTTTGTGGTGAGGTTGGATTACAGGGAAATTGGGGTTCCCATACATTTGCTACACTTACTTAGTTGGCTTTGTTAGAAACACTAGGTAAGTTTGGTTTGTGCCACCCATGTAGTTTTGTCTTTCAATATTTTGTAGAGATGTTACTTACGTTTGTTTTTTTCATTTTAAGAGATTAGAGACTAGTTAGGTCTGGTTTTGTTTTGTTGAGTTTATTTCTTTGGCACATCCACTTTGTCCAATCCTCGCCAGTTGAGCACCAGTCTCAGGATATAAATGTCATCACCCAACTCTGGGGAAAAAGGAAGTTGCACTGCTGTTACTTGGTCGTAGACACAAGGCTAACCGCCTTCACTTTCTCCTGAGTGATATTGCTTTAATGCAACAGTTGTACAACCAGCATAAGGAAGAAAACAGAATATTTAAATGTTTTGCTCCACTAACTCAACTAGTTCCTCATCTGAAATGAAACAGACCTGTTACCAAGCAACCCAAACATTCTGCTGCACTACTTTGTTTGTGTCCATGGTTACAAGAGACATGCTAATTCTTTTCATGTAGGCCACATTTATTAGTACATTTTAATGTGTCGTGCAGCAAGTTAAATTGAGTCGTGTTTTGTGATTCAGAGGAAGCAGCTTCATTAATCAGGACAAACTGTGTCTACTGTTAGGTAAACTTACAGTGCTCAGAACCCTGGCTGAGGTGGACCACAGACTGTACACATGAACCATTTGAAGCCCATTGATGGAGGTTGCCAAAGTGGAAATGCTGCGGCTGACTCTACCTAACTTTAAATCAAAACAAAGAGGTGGATCTGAGGCGGGTCTTTAGCCTACTGACGAACATCTACAACGAGCCCACCCTTAAGTCAGATAATTATAAATAACACTTATCCTTCATTATATCATAATGGATGTGTCCTAAAAAAAAATTCTCCCCCCTGTAGAGTGTTTCCCGAAAAGACAAGAACTTTTCAGACCAAATCATTCTTGTACCAAGCTGCTACAACAGAAATTCTGAAAACACAGGATGAGTGTGATCACCCAGGATTGACCAGGCCTTCTTTAGAGTTTTTGCTTTGTACAGGTGTGTTCAAGGGCAACACCTGTGCCCTTGAGAAAAAAGGGGTACATTTAAAAAAACAAAGTAAGTTAAGTTACCTTTTAGAGGGTAGCTGCAATCCAGATGAAATCACAAAGGTAGTTTGTAATTGGCTGGAAAGATAATTAAATGGAAAATGTTAAAAAAGTTTGAATCCCTCTTATACTCATGTTCAATGAATGTTATTTGTGGAGTCCTGTCGTTTTACCTCACGTCTCTAACGTCCTCCTGAACTCACCTTACGACCCATGAGGTGTTTGAACCTCTCTGCACATCACCTCTCATCTGCACTGTCAGCTGAGGACCCTGCACACTGTGCAGAGGTGTGAATGATTTGTGTTGTCAGGGCAGACGAGTTTATGTCTCTACACTGTCCGGCGGTAGGTGAAGTGACGTCAATCTAGGTGGAAACAAAGACCGGAATAGAGCCATTAAATCACCTGGAAGTAAGACGTCTGGCCTTCACAATAAAAGTAAAAAACTAAAAAAAAAAACACAAAAAAGCATTACATAATTTTGACTCCTTTTACTGAATGTTTTTGAAATCATATCAAATTAATACATTTTTTGTGTGCTTATTATTTTAGCATGCAAACTCAAAGATTACAATGTATTAATTATCTCTATTTTCTCTTCTCAGCTACTGTTTATTTTTAATGAAAGAAAAATACTGTGTGAGTAAACAGTTGTTGTTTTCATAAGAAAAAGTTGGGGTGTCCCTTAAAACAGGTCTTTGAAGGGGAATTCTGGTATTTTAAAACCTGGGTGAATTTAATGGTTTTAGGGTCTTAATGGAGTCTAAAGGGTTTTTGGGATGCTTCATTGCCTCGCCCTGCAGCAGTGAAACAGGCTGTAAAGACATTCAATGTATTGCTTGTTGAGAATGCACTGAATCATTTCACTGACCGGCTCAGATTGTTATTCTAAGTGTCTGACAACATAACAGAAGAGATCCCTACAGAGATTGATTTTAAAACTGTTGCATCACTCACAAAAAACCCCGGACTACATTGATACAGTGATAGTGATTTTACCTCACAGAACTCATGAATTAACTTTAAGGCCATGTCTTTTAATCTTTGAAGTTATTGAAATATTATTGTGTGTTTCACATAAAAAAGATCATTTATAAGGATCTAGTCAGACGTTACCAAAAACTTCTCCTCCCAGATGCAAAATAAGAAAATATTAAATGAAACTTGGTTTGGAATATTTACAATAAATAATGTGACAGTGTGAAAACAGACCTGTGTTAAAGATTTAGAGAATGTATTGATGCTTAGTTTCTGTTCTGCAATAAGGAAACTGAATTGTGATTTTCTTTTTCAATTACTTTGTTCAACATTTGATATAAATGATATAAGTTGATATAAATACATGTATTATGATTATTAATTTTCTCTTGGAAACTCTGACATTAGACTGTATAAAGAATGGACAGTGCAATATCTCACCTCAAGTAAAGCCAAAAGTTTTAGAGCTGCTCTTAATCAGCCTTTACATTTGAAAGATATAATGACATGATATTTATCGTGGTAACAATTTTAATCATATTTCCCAGACCTATTAAGAAGATTTTGAAACTGGGACAAAGAATCATTTGACCAGTGTACACAAGTTTTATTGCTGACCATTGCTAATTTAGTTGCCTGATGTAAGTTCTCTATCTTGTTGTATATTGTTTGTACTTTGTGGGAAACTTTAGCTGACTTGACCAAGACTCCCTTTGTAAAATACATTTCTTCATCTCAATGGAAATAACCCTAATAAAAAAAGTTAAATAAAATAGAAAGAATGCCCATGTACAAAATCGAGACTCTGTTATAGTGTTATTGAACCAGAAATAAAAATCCAATAAAATAATACATAAGGGATCATACTGGAAAGGGGCTGTCTCTTGATTTAAGGAACGCCCAGCTGATGCTTTTATTCTGAAAGTGGAAACAGTAGAGAAGGTGTGTAGTGTTGGTAATTTGACTCCACATTCAGCACAACAATCTTCGGACAGCTCCTCACCGTGAGCAGCAGCACAGCTATGATCGGTGGGGGGGGGGAGTCCGGTGGGACGATGGAGAGGTGCCACACATCGGGACTACTGATCCGGCTCTGATACCTGTCACAGCTTCTCTGTTTTTTTACCAGCTCTAACCTGTGCGCGTCCACGTTAAGATGTACATTATGCGTGTTATTTTTGCATCCTTCGGTTAATTGGGGAGCGGGGGAGGGGGGCGCAAAGTTGGTATGTGTGAAGCTCAGCGTTGATGCTGTTCGCTCCGGGTCCTGGATCAGATGAATCCTTCGAGTGAGTCTTCTTTTTGTTCGCGCTCTAAAGGATGAGCAGAGGCTTGCGGAGCTGCACCGATTGCACCGGATAAATCTGCGCTCTGTGCACCAGAGCTCACAATGAGTGTCGGTATGCAGATTGAACCTGAATCAGCCTGAGATCTGCGTGCGCGCGTCCTTCCCTGAGAGAGGCTGCAGCTACTGAGCTGTGTGCATGCGCCTGGACTCCAGGTCTGTCATCGATTAATCAGACTTACAAAAAAATCCGAATCAGACAGACAGATAGTCAGACAAACAGAAGCAGTCTTAATGTTTGTGACTTCTGACAGTGACTGAGCATTTAAAGGAATGATTCAGGTGACACACTCTCTCTACCTGTCTCTGTAGGCCTGTACAACACACACACACACAGCCATGGACCCCCTCCCAGACTACTCTCTGTTCCTGGTCCGGATCCTGGAAGAGCTGGACACCAAGCACAGCACCATGTCCTACCAGGACCTGTGCAAGTCGCTGTGTGCCCGCTTTGACCTGGTGCACCTGACAAAGCTCCGCAGCCTGCTCTTCTATACAGCATGCCTGGACCCCGCCTTCCCCGCCACACTCTTCAGGGACAAGATGCGTTGCTCCATGGATGACCCGCAGTCCAAGAAGCTGATGGTGGCGGCGGACATTGTCACTATGTTCAACCTGATCCAGATGAACGGGGGTCTGGCCAAAGACAAGATCCCAGCTGTGCACCGAGCCAAGATCCACAAGAACCAGTCTCTAGAGCTGTGCCGGCCTGAGCAGGACGCCTTTAAGTTTCAGGACTGTGACAGGGGGGCCAGTTATGATCACACAGACCCCCGAGAGGGGCACCATCGACACCACCACCCCCACTGCCCCCAGCAGCGCCCCGGGACCCAGAGTGCCTCTCCTTGCTCAAAACCGTCCAGCAGCCACCAGCAGTTTGTACGCTCCTCGAACCCAAACTTCCTGCTGGGTGTCAGCAGGGCTGCCTCATTGGACAAGCTGCAGCACCTGCCCCAGTACTCCAGCGGTAGCCCCCCCTCGCCCCCCTGTGAGATGCAGAGCACCTACTTCCCCATGGATGTAGACAGCGAGTCCAACATGGACCAGGAGTCCCTGCCGCCATTCTCCCTCCACCCCTGTGTGCAGAAGAGAAATGTTTTTAAAGAGGGCTTCCACAACCAGCTGGCCTTCTCCCCACAGGTCATTCTTTACATTATTCCTCTGTGTGTGTGTGTGTGTGTGTGTGTGTGTGTGTGTGTGTGTGTGTGTGTGTGTGTGTGTGTGTGTGTGTGTGTGCGCGTGCGTGCGTGCGTGCGTGTGCGTGCGTGTGCGTGCGAGTGTGTGCGTGTTCATGTTAGCGTTTCCAAGTTGTGTTTGGGTTTCAGGATGTGTTCGGATTTGTTTCTTTGCTTGTGTTTATGTGTCTGTAAACCCTCAGCTGAAAATCTATGATGTCCATGGAGAACATTTCCAGGTAATAATTACTAACAGCATTTTAGAGCCATTTTTTTTAACTCTGAACATGAAAGTTTGATACCGGCTCAAGTAAGAAAAGCAGGAAATATTCAGTAAAAATATATTTGCAAGCAAGTAATCAGAATGATGACTTTAATATCCTGCGACAGCTTCTATAGTCATGCATGTAATGAAGCTGCTTCATACTCTCCTCTGCTCATGTTCTCCTCCACTCTTAAGTCGCTACAGTGAATACGTCCAATTACACCTAGCATTGATATGAAGAGTAGTTATCATCAAAGCGGTGGACTAGTGGTACATCACTATCCTGGTGTAAACATCACACGTTGATTACTGCGGTGTCCTTTTAATGTTGTTTCCTTCCTCCTGAGACCCCTTCCCCTCCTGTCCTCCTGTAAAAGAAAAGTGTGTTCAATTTTCCAATTTAGTCAGATTATACATGGAAACAAATTCTATTTTTAGACATTTTCAGGAGTGCATATGTGATAAAGGTTTATCTGAAGTAAACAAAGAAGAAGCCACATTTACACAGTACTTCTCTGATATGTTATGGTGAATGCTGAATTGACTTGAGCTTGTATCGCGCATTTCTACACCTACCCATTCACACCCATTTTAACACTGATGGCAGAGGCTGCTCTGTAAAGTGTCCGTCAGTTTTAACTAATATCATTCATACTAGGGCTGGGCGATATGGACCAAAACTCATATCTCGATATTGTTTAGCTGAATGGCGATACTCGATATATATCAATATGTATTTTATTAACAGTGAAAACACATAAAATAAACTACCTGTTTGTGAATTTAAAAAGTAATATTTTAAAATAGAAATGTTCCTTAAATACAGTAAAAGAGAGAGAGAGGAGGAGCAGGGTGAAGAGGGACAGACAGTCAGTCATCATCAGAGAAAAAGGTGAACTGGCACCTCTGTAACGTTATTTTAATGCAACGTAAACTATATCCATATTAACCATGTTGTTTTACCCTATATCTTGTTTGAAAATATATCGATATATCTTAAAAACTTGATATATTGCCCAGCCCTAATTCATACCCATTCACATGCCGCCAACAAGCAGCAGGAGCAACTTGCCCAAGGACAGATCGGAAAGGAGTTAGGATTCGAACCCCTGACCTTTTGGTTGAGAGATTACTGACTCTACCACTGAGCCACAACCACCGATATGTTGTTAAGTGAAGTACACAGAAACACGAGTCCAGTACTACTACTCTACCAGAGAAAATATACTCCATTTTACTTTACACTGCTGAAGAAAAAAGGGAACTATTTCATTTCCCCTCTCATGTCGTTCATCACCTATAAAAAGGTAGCGGCAGCTGGTGCACCGCGGAAACAATTTATGTATGGTTGATTTCAGGTTTCATCATCCCCCTGACCTGCATTTTATGTATAAATGATGCAGACACTCTCACAGTGTCGGATAAATATAGAGCTCTTACTCGCTTAAGGTCTGTTTGTTATGTACAGAACACAGGAGATGGTGGACACATCCCAGAGTGCCATGTGAGAAAAAATGAGTTTTGATCATCTAATCTCCTGCAGTGTGATGAGCAAGAACAGGTTAAATAAATAAATAATATATATATATATATATATATATATATATATATATATATATATAATTTTCCTTGCAGGGCTTCTCTGTGCTGTTCTAGTTTTCTGAAACTAATTATTTATGTTGAGTGTTATCTAAAAATTACTCCCCCCCCCCCCTTTGTATTACAATTTTGACAATTTTATGATTTTTAATAATCTTAAACTGTTTTTTAAATGTGTAAATAATCATGTGTCACCACTGTTATCTGAATTAGCCATTAGGCGTCAGAGCTCTCGTAGGGCAGTCAAACGAGTCTCTATCAGCGGTGTACAAGACATCTTTTGGCCAGTCTGCTTTCTCTGCAAAGGGGACAAAACTTTGGAGCTCTCTGCCCACTGGCATAAAACTAGAGAGCAACAGGAATGCTTTTAACAGAGGACTCAAACAATGGCTAAAATCAAAACAACAGTGCTCACATGAATAGCTTCTGACTGGTTAATTGTTTGATCATGCTGCCTTTGCTCTACGGTTTATGTCTATTTATTTATTCTCTCCTTATTGTTTTCTCTGTTTTATCACTTTTCTCCCTATCTGAATTGTTTTCCTTTCTAAAGCCTCATGTGGACCGGTGTTGAGAACTAGCATGCTTGCTAAAACACTTAAACAATGCATCTGGTTCGTCCAATGTATCTGTGATGTCCATGCCAAAAAAAGTCTATTATTATCATTATTATTATTATTATTATTATTATTATTATTATTATTAATAATACAACTTGACTGATTGTCCTTAAAATATTCAGACTTATTTACAGAATTATTTTGCTCTGTTCAGTATCAATTAGCATTTTGGTTTTATATTTTTTATTCTCCATTTGTTACTAGAAAAAGTCCACCTTCAGTGTGTTGTCTCTGTTTTGTACATGTATTTTAAAGCCAGCTCTATGTGTTTGTGTTGCAGCTCATCAAAGCTGAGTGCAAGCAGAGCGGTGAGGCAGCGTCTGCCTACCACCGGAAGGAGCTGCACAAGCCCGCCACCTTCTTCAACCACAGCTTCGAACTGCCCTATAGTAACCCCTACTTTGAGCCCACGCTGAACTCCCCTCTTCAGGACAGGCAGCGGGTGAAGCACGAGAGCCTGGACGACCTGCAGGCCTCCACGTACTTTGGCCCGACGACGGTCTCCGAGAGCGTCAGCAACAGGAAGCACGGTCACAAAGCAGCGGGGAGGCAGCCATCGTGGCCGGTGAAAAGTCTCAGTCTGAACGCGGAGGAGGGGCCGCCGGACTTTGAGAGGTCGTTCATCATGAACGGAAAACCTCTCAAAGAAAACCTCCATCACAATATCAGCATCATCAGCACCGACGAGAAGCTTTTCCAGAGCCCGAAGGACAAGGTGGTCGCGTCTCCGTCTGGATTTGCCAAGAAAACTAACGGATTAAAAACCAAGGATGTTGCTCTGATGTCCAGCGGGCCCGCGGGTTTGGACAAAAGAGAAGTAGCTAAAAGGTTTCGAGACAAAAATGTGAAGAGTCACTCCTTCCAGGGAGGGGACAGCTCGTCTAGCGTGGGGACTCAAACGGAGCTGGCCGAGCAGAAGAAGGTGAAGGATTACAGGCCGGAGAGACAGGCCTTCAAACACTCCGACGAGGACTCGGAGCTCGTCAGTGATGACATCAGCGATATCTTTCGTTTTCTGGACGATATGAGCGTTTGTGACTCTCTGGGCGTCATCCAGCCCTCGTGCTACAACAGCAACGGATCTCTCTCTCAGGTCACGCTCAAGTCTGAGGGTGACAGCTCCCCCGAACGCAACACGGTCAAACTAGCCAAGTCCAAGCTGGACCGCCTCTTCAACTCGCTGGAAAACACGGATGACGAGCTCAAATCGAGCGTTTGCAAGCTCGTGATGAGGATCGGCGAGATTGAGAAGAAGCTGGAGTCTCTGTCGGGTGTCCGCGGCGAGATCTCCCAGGTGCTCTCCAAACTCAACAGGCTGGACGAGAAGATCCAGGAGCCGGAGGCCAATGGGAGGCATGCCGATTCGGCCTCTGCGTCTGGATCCGCTGCCGACCAGAACAAGCTGCAGCCTCTACCGCATCCAAACGCCAACCTGTCCCCGCACGTTTTCCAGTGCCACACCACGGGACATGATGGCAAAATGGACAGCGGCCCCCCGGGGGAGCGGTGCTGCTCTGACGGGAGTAACAACGACAGCCTGAGGACAAAAGCTCTGAAGAAGAGCATGTTCACCAGGAGGTCGTCCCGCTCGCTCAACGAGGAGAGCGGCGCCACCGAGTCGAAGATCGCCAGCATTACCAACTCTCCTCGGGATTGGAGGACAGTATCATACTCCTGCCATCCTGAAGACGAGGGCAACGACATGGACAGAGACAGAGACGGCAAGGACAGACACAGGAAGGCCAAAGAGGTACGGACACAGATTTCTTTCACTTTCAATTAAAAAAAATATATTTATAAATTATTATTACGTTATAATAATAATAATAATAATATTATATACAAATATTATGTTGCAGAAACAGGCTTGCCAGTATTTTCTTGTTGACAATTTTACAGGGAAGACAAAAAATATTCTTCTATTAAAACATAATTGTAGCTTGAACCAGGATTAAAAATGTTGTACCTGTACGGGGAATCATGGGAGTTCTCAAAGCGTCTCAGACCACCTCCGTATCATGTGACCTGACTGCTCTGATCTGCGTTCACGATGACCCAGGATGAATGTTAATGCAAGGTGTAAAAACAGAGTCTCAGTCAACGACCCTTAAGGTGCTTCATAAAGCAAAGAGATTTTATGTGACACAATAACTTACAAAAATATGCAAAATCATCGCAAACCCATGATGACCTGGATATTCACGCTGCGTGAATCATTCGCTTATTCTTTGTGAGTTGAACTTTTAATATTTTAAAACTTTTAGAACTGTGTTTGTTTATTCTGAATTCATGAATCTGCATCATTCTACAATTCTACAATTCACTTAGCAGACGCTTTTATCCAAAGCAACGTACATCAGAGAGTAAGTACAACACAAGCAAGGATCTAGAAAATAAAAGGGAACAATGTCAGTAAGAGCAAACGATCAGCTTTGAGTCTGATTGGACACACTGTTGCTGACAGGAAGTGACCAGAGGCAAAGCACAACATTGACGGCAGTTCTTGAGAGCTCTAATCAGTATAGAAACCATCTTATAAGTCATCGTTATCAAACAAAAACCATCATCATTACCATCATCATCATCATCAATAATATGGAGACCATCATCATTAAGTTAGTAGGTATTCATGAAAGAGCTGGGTCTTTAGCTTTTCTTAAAGGTGCAGAGGGACTCTGCAGATCCAATGGAGTTTGGAAGTTCATTCCACCACCGGGGGGCGACAGAGGAGAAGAGTCTAGTCAGAGACTTTGGACCCTGCTGTGAAGGTTGGATCAGATGCCTTTCATTGGCAGAGTGTAATGGGTGGGAGGGAGTGTAGACCTAGATCAGAGAGTTAAAGTAAGGAGGAGACGTTTTTGTGTCTGTTTTGTAAGAGAGCAGCAGAGTTTTAAATTTGATGCAAGCAGTAACTGGGAGCCAATGTAAGGAGATGAACAGCGGAGTAACATGTGTCCTTTTAGGAAGGTTGAAGACCAGTCGTGCTGCTGCATTTTGTATCATTTGCAGGGGTTTGATAGTGCATGTAGGAAGATCTGCCAGTAGAGAGTTGCAATAATCGATGCATCGACGCATCATAGCGTAAATATTCTATCCATCCTTTGATATTCAAGCAATGAAACTGCTGAAAAGACGTTTTAAAAATTGGGCCACCATTGAAGAGATGTTCAAATCTGGTACAAAAGTGAACATTTTCTCAATGACTAATTGAATCAGTGGTTAAATGTCTATGTTTAGACAAGACTTTACAGGATTGATCTCACATTCACACACAGCCATTTTTCAAGATGTAGAGTCATGCATCGCATTCACCAGCGAAAGAAATGGTAAATGGACTTATACTTATATAGCTCTTTTCTAATCTTCCGACTACTCAACTGTACTGTTACACCCACCCATTCGGGACGGGACTTGTACTGGCGACCCTTCGGTTCCCAATCCAAGTCCCTACAGACTGAGCTACTGCCACCCCAAATCAATCAGTCAGTTAAAACAGTTAAATGTATTTTTGTCGGGGTTCTCAACGCTGTAGTAAGCTGTATCCTTGCTAACAGCTCAACCTCAAACTGGAAGCAGCAGGAAAGTTCATCAAGACAAAGTTCCTAGAGGAGGAGGGAGATTTACCCAGGTGATGATATGAACACAGAAATTACATTTGGTTTGTCATATACCTTAAATTCAACACTACTGATCCGTTGTGTGCTTAGTTTTTTTCACACAGCTTTTATCTGCTTTTGGAAACAAATTATAAATTTATTTGTGAATGCAGTCTTTAGATTGTTTAAGTTTAGGGTATGTGATGTGTGTGAGAAATCACCTGTCTTCATTAACTGAACCAATGTTTAAGATAGATAATAGGAGTGAGGGATATGGATAAACTCCTCCATAGGTTCATATATGTAAAGTGATGTCACAATAACAATGCAGTACCCTGTAACAAAACATGTGAAAGATTTGGAAAGTTAGTTGAGTACGACAGGAAAGTGTGTGTTACAGACAAATTTATGTATTTTATCACAACAATTTAATTACCATATAAAATCATTATAACCATGTACAGTAAGGCTCCCGTCGTTAACACGTTAACGGTGATCCGATGAATGTCAGAAATAAATAATCCCATGCTATGATGGTTCTTGAAGTGCACATCAAACATTATGTCATGCTGTGAAGATGTTCTATTTGGAGTCTGGCAGTTTCAGTGAATGACCTTGATATCAGTGACTCTTATTTTCTAACTGAGTTTTCAAAGAAGGATCTCTGGGAGAGCTGAAAGTAAACTCGATTAATTAGGTTGTTTATTGAAATAAATCTTAAAGGTAGAACGCGTGACTTTTTTGATCCAGAAGATGTCGCCCTTGCATGATGAAACCAAAACAGACTGCTGTTTGGCGATACCTCCTCCACACTGAAGCCTCCACTCTCCTCCAGCGAATCACCCCTTACCTCTCTTCACTCGCGTTCACTCAAAGGAATTATGAATTACAACGCACCATAATTAAGCACCTTAAATTGTCCTTGCTGTGGCCTGCATTAAAGATAAAGATAAAGATAAACTTTATTGATCCCCATGGGGACAACATTGTTGAGTTAGCAGGCTAATGTTAGCACGCTTTAGTTAGCTAAAGCAAGTTCTTCATATTGTACATAAATTGACACAGAAGTGACATCCAAATAAGCAGTGAGTATGTTCTTTTCTCTAATTCTTGACTAAAATAGCTTTCTACACAATGTCAATGTAAACATGATGTAAACACAGATCTGACAACAACACAGCTCTCCGGACTCACGCTTCTCACTCATTGTAGACAGTCGTGACTCAGAGATATGAGGGTATATCTGATTTCTGCTATATTTATGTGTAAAATGTCACACATTCTTCCTTTAATATCTGATTAATATATTTCAGTAAAACATTTCACAATAAGGATTTTTTAGTTTTCCAGTCTTTCTCTGGGATTTTTTTTATTTTTTTCATCAGACAATGATTCATTTGACTCTAGACATAACCAACAGATCAATTTATAATCAATGAAAACGTGACTTTTTTTCATTTTTATTTATTTTTAATTTTGAACATGTTTTCAAAATAAAATAAAAATATACATTAAACAAATCAAACAGCAATCAAAGCATACTTTATGTAGTGGCTCGATTATTTTTCCTTAACCAGTCCATGTTCGAAAAGGGTGTAGGATGAAGTTAAATAACTTATCCAGTCCTACCCCTTTTATCTTTTTAACTTAATAAATTAATCCAAGACTAATCTTTAAAAAATTAAGTTGAATAATACAGATAACGAAGTAAAAAAAGCAACAAATATAATGTATTATTGTCTTTTAAGTCATGTAGGCTCAGAAACTCTTTGGATAAATCATCTTTGATAATAAAGGTCTTTGATCTCATCCAGTGCCGCAGCTGTGTGGACAGAGCAGCAGATTCCAGCCTTAAATCTGGGCTCAAACGTAAAAAAAAAGAGCAGTGTTGATGTGGCCATGTGGCTCTTTGTCCCACATGACTCTTCTCACGGCCAGGAGAAATGTTCACAGCAGCGAATCAGAGAGGAATTAATCCTGACAAATTATAGAGACTAAAGTCTGCCAAGAGGACAGGATGTCTCTGGGTGCTTAAAAAGCAGCTGTTTGGTTTCAAAAATGTTAATAACTATCAGCATCAAGGGTTCATGATATACATATTATTTTAGCTGGATGAAAATAAACAGCCAGTAGAGGTATCTGCTAGCTTCATGTTGTATTCAGAATTCAATCAATCAATCTTTATTTGTATTGTGCCAATTCATAACAAATGACGATTTACATTAAAGGCTTAATATGTGATTTTTCACACTTAAATATAATATAAATCAAGTACATCCTCTGAAAATAACTCTGTGAGTCATGACTGTCTACAATGGGTGTAACACCCGAGTCCCACTGTCTGTGATGTTTTCAGAGTTCTATCTTCAGTTTGTTTACATCGCCTGGACGGCCGGCTGACTCCTCCCCTCACGTATAAAAGTTGTTTAACTGAGGGACTAGAGAAAAGAAGAATAACATACTGTACTCACTGCTTAACTGTGTTTCTAGATCACGCTCATTTCAGGTAAATTTACATGCAGTGTGAAGATACAAGCATAATAAAGATCGCTAGCATTAGCATGCTAACACAACAATGCAGCGTGAGTTGTTTTGGTTTCATGCTGCTGCACAAGGGCGACATCTACTGGATCAAAAAAAATCACATATAAAGCCTTTAAGAGCATGCCTAAACCGTACTCTTGGTTATCTTATTTAAAGGTTTGTGAAGCGTCTTGCAACCTGAAGGTTGGGGGTTCTATTCCCAGCTCCTGCAGCCACATTTCGATGTGTCCATGGGCAAGACACATTATCTTATACTGACACATTACAGAGCAGCATCTGCCATCAGTGTGTGAATGTGTAAGGGTGACATGCGGTGTAAAAGTGCTTTAAGTAGTCAGAAGACTAGAAAAGAGCTATACATGGTCAAGTCCATTTAACATGTGCATCTACATGAAGGCCAGCACTGTATGTTTCTAATGAGGAGGCTGAAACGTTTTTTAACACCAGACAGGACATCTTAACAGCAGTATAGCACTCATTCATTGAATCAGTCCTCACATTTAACATTGTGTCCTGGTACAACATTCTCGCTGAAAAATGCAAGAAACAACTCACGGGGATCACAATACATGCAGCTAACACCACCGGCAACACCACTAATCCAACTCTC